TAAGTGGGAGTTACTGTCAAGATAGGTGTGATCATATCACGTCCGGGTCACCAATGTGGGGGGAGGAGTTATTGACAATGCCAACCTTCATCTATCAAAAGGCACCTCGTGTTTGAATCAAGTTAGCATGTTTTATATACCAGTGAATTGATGTTTAATTATTAGTAGTGGTAGTTACGCCACATTTTAAATATGGTCATGACTTTGTAACTATTTCAAATGTTTGTAATGTAAGTTTTTTACTTTATTAAGAGCGAGCAGCGCACATTGTTTAAAAACATTTATCTTCAGACACAGTAATATATATATATTTAGTTTTGATGTGCCACTTTTTTTTCGACAAAACCTATTAATTTTTTTATCTTTATGAAATCACCTGTATGATTTTGTCATTCTACGTTAATTCTAGTCTCAAATAAATCTATCTTTGCCCGTCTTCAGTTTCCTCACCTGGCTGTAATTCGAAGGCCCGATTGCTTTTTTGCAAATAATATACTATTTTCATAACTGCTTAACAGCTCATGACTTTTTAGCTTATCTATATTAAATGCTCTCTGAGCTTATTCTGAAAACGGCGCAAATTTTTAATATGGAGGAAAGCCACAGTTAGTAAAAATGAAAGGCGTTTGTGGTCTAATTTTTTAATATTTAAAAATTTACTTAAATGCGACATAATTCAATTAATTTACTTAAATGCGACATAAAAATTTTCAAAAACTGAGAATAAGGCAATGATTTTGATAATTTTCATCAAGGTGGAAAAATATCGCCAAATTGACAATTTTTAAAAAAGTTTAATAACCTTTTAAATATTTAAGTAATTTATCCGTTCTAAAGTACTGCAAATTCTTCACGGCAAGATTGTATACATAATTTAAAATTTTAGCTTTTCTTCAAGTGTAAAGCAATTAAATTGTGGCTCTTTTTATTTTCCTTGGCGAGAGAGCAACGAAAAATTATGTTAACTGTTAATTCTCTTCTAAAATGAAATCGTTTAGTTATCCAATTTTATCTACATTTTCAGAATTTCTTCAAATACAACCATATTTGCAATTAGTTTCTTTAAAAAATTATCTAAAATCTGCAATAACATTCCATAAATAAAATTGCGTAAAATGTATTTTTTATTCCCCATAGTAGTAATAACCTCGTAAATTATCGAATCAGAAGAGCTGTAGCAAAATCAATCATTCTTTTGTATATGACTTAGTCAAGGTTTGAGATTAACGAACTTATGTGAGGATATCTCGGTATGACCTATTTATTTCATTTTCATTGCAAAATTAAATTTTAAATTAGAATAATATCATCCGTACTTTTCATAAATATTTTGATTCTTTTAGCTGTCTAAAGATTGAATTTTATTTTCGTTTATATGTTTCTTATAAATTGCTTACGTCATTATTTTTAATAAGTGATGTAACAAATTTTCTTGATCGCAAATGAGATATTATTTTTTTTTTATAAATTGTATTTTATCATTCTGTGTTTCCTTTTTTAATTAACGAAATGTCTACAAAAATAGAAGCATTTTATTGCTTTTAAAATAGGAGAAGAAAAAAAAATATAATTACTGAATTTAATGCATACATTTAGTTAAAATATGTTTATCCTTGTTACCCTAATTAGTGTTCTGTAATTACCGCCATTAATACATATTTTCTAATTCTTGTCAAAAAAGAAGTCAAAACAGTATACAGATAAAGGATCTTAAATCAATATTTATATGAGGATGAAATAAAAATGATATCGAAACCCGTAGAATCACTTGTGAGCAAGGCGTGGAATATGGTATCATAATGCGAAGCATCATAATGGCATCCTTAAATGCAAGGCAATGTAGGTCTTCAGTGCATGTTTAGAACCTCATATCTCTTTATGTACCAAACTTTACAGGGTATTTTTGTTTTAATTTTAATTTTACTAATACAATTTTATAGTTTCTAAGTGCGACTTGAATCTGTGAGAGTTTTCATCGTTGGCGCACTATCCGAGTATAATTTCCTTTTGATTGGTTTTACGAATTACGATCATTTATGTAAAAAGTAATTATGCTTAAAAACTATTATTTATATAAAAAGTAATTACGTTTGAAAACGATTATTTATATAAAAATGCATGTTTGAAATATTATAATACTAGCCGCCAAAGGCGCCCAGCTGTTCGCCAAGCTAAAGGTTTTCACAAATAAAGTTTTTTAAAACATAGCCGGAAATCTGAAGATTAGTGGACAATTAAAGTGTTCCTGTCCAGCAATTTTGTCTTCATATCCAGTTCTGCTGCAGATGTGTTATAGCTCTTGAGGATGTTTGAAATTATATAGCTACAACGCTTAAGAAAAAAAAACTAAAATGCTAAATACATGAAAAGAACACGAAAACGAATAAATTTTTTATGGTATCAATTTCTATTTCTATATAATTTTTTATAGTATCAAATTCTATTTCTATATCTGTTACGTCAAGCACTCAGGTATTATAATTTGATCTAGTTGTGCTTGTATAATTTTGATCTAGTTGCGCTTTCTACGTCATTTTGTTAACATCGTTTGGTTTGTTATTTAACATCGTTT